AGGCAGCATGCTCTTTCTCCCCCCACGTAAAAGCGAACCCCCTTCCGCAGTAAATCCGTCAGTGGGGAAGTTAACCGTGCCATATCGGGGACGAACCGACGCACATAATTAACGAACCCTAAAAAGTCTGCAGCTCCGTGATGTTCGTCGGGGGATGCCACGCTTTTACCGTATCCAGCTTCTTTGGGTCGATTTCAACTCCAGCCTCCGAAATAACGTGCCCAAAAAATTCTAACCTATCCTGGAAGAACTCGCACTTGGAACCCTTGGTCAGTAATCTGTGCTCGTCTAAAACCTTAAACACTGCTTCCAGATCTGCTAAGTGCTGCTGCTTATCCCGACTGTACACTAGGATGTCGTCGAGGTAAACTATTACACATTTATCTAAGAGCGGCCTAAATGCCTCGTTCATGGTCATCTGAAAAGTCGCCGGTGCGTTGGTCAGCCCGAATGGCATCACAGTGTACTCGAACGACCCGTACCTAGTCCTGAAAGCTGTTTTGGCGCAGTCCGATGGTTCGACTCTAATCTGGTGGTAACCTCCCCGTAAGTCGATTTTCGAAAAAAACCCGTGCTGTTCGCAGTTGGTCGATCAGTTGGTCGGCGCGTGGAATGGGGTACCGCGACTTAACTGTTACCCTGTTCAGTGCTCTGTAATCGATACACATGCGAAAACCCCTGTCTTTTTTCGGCGTGAATAGTATCGGTGCGGCGAACGGTGACGAGCTCGGTCTGATGATTTTTTTCTCTAAGAGGTAATCTAACTGCTTCCTTAGTTCGTCGAGCTCGGGCTGTGTCAGTCTGAACTGGCGCTGTACGGTTGGCTGTGCCCCCAGTTCTAATTCGATTCGGTGGTCATGTGCTCGCTGAGGTGGCAGTCCTTCCGGTAAGTCGTCGGGGAAAATCCCGGGGTATCGTTTCAACAGTTCCTGTAATTCGGGCGGTACGGCTGCCAGCAGTTTCTTGAAATCACTCGGCTGCTCTGCTTCCTCTACTACTGCAATGTCTACTGCGTACATGTCAGCTCCAGCAGCGACAGCCCGTTTCATTGTGATGGCGTTGACGTGTACTGTTGAAGACTCGGGCGATTGCCAGCGAGGTAGCTCGACCCAATTACCACTACTTCGCACGGTGCAGCTACCCGTCGTCCAGTCAATTCGCGGGTTATACCGTCGCAGCCAATCACGTCCCAGTAAAATATCGTGCCCATCTAGTGTCGTTGCGAGCATTTCCTGTGTAAACCCGAAATTTCCCCCGCAGCGGACTTTGACTCTCTCTACCTTTTCCCGTATGGCCAGTGGCATGCCGTCGACTAAGCGTGCGTCTATCTCCGGTAAGCAACGGCTAAGTGTCAGCTGCAGTTTTCGTGCGGTTGCGGTATTAACTAAACTGTGGCTTGCTCCTCCGTCGATAAAAATCTTCACTGCTGCTCCCTGTATTTTCCCGTGGATCAGTACTGGGCAATCCGTCGCTGTACCCTCCTTATTCGTCCGAGTCCGATCGATAGCATGTATCGGTACTGTGACTCGGTGAGGGTCGGTGGGGTTGGGCAAGCAGGCAGTCTCGTCATTAGTTGGCCCGATTCCTACTGACTGCTGGAGTTTCCCTGCTTTGGAGACTCCCTCCCCTGCTCTACTCCGCGGCGCCTTAGCTCCTCTGGGCATTCGCTCTTGCGATGGCCCGGCCTGTTGCAAGCAAAGCAGCGCCCCTTAAACGGCGCGGCAGCTGCATTCGTCGCAACAGCGTGTACAGTGGCGTGCTCGATCGGTCCCCGAGGACGATGTCCATAGTAGGACCCCGGTCTCGGACGGTGTAAAATGTCGATTTTCTCGGCGAGCGCGAGAATCTCGTTGAAGTTCGAGAGCCCGCGTAGCATCATTTCGTGCGAGATGTCCGGCTTCAGCACTCCGACGTAACGGTCCACCCGCTCCGCTTCATGCATGTAGCCGACTTGCTCGCATAATGCGAGAAACCCACTCGTATAGTCTTGAACCGATCCGAGCTGCCGCCAAGTGCGCAATCTCTGACGCGCCGAAATAGAAGCCGCGATCGGCTCGAAGCACGCCCGAAGCCCTGCGCACCACGCATCCCACGTGCTGTATTGGGCGGTCTCGCAGAATGAACTCCGGGTGACAGCTAGACCCGTGGGCCCTTCCTCTTGCGACGGTGGCTTGTAGGCGCGTGGCGACGTCACGATGACTCGCCACCAGTCCATGGCGGGGCCCCTTAGCAGCGAAACGGCATACCGAATCTTCGCTGCGTCCGACTCGACGTAATTCGCGTCGAAGAAGACGTTCATCGTGAAGACCCACGATTGAACCGTCGGACCTCCACGCTGGCTCGGGTCGAAGCAGGGCGGGCGTTGCGGCTTGAGTGGCATTGGTGCTATAATGGCCTGTTCGCCACTTGTCGCCGCGAACTCCACGTGCCGACGGGCTTCGCGAGGCTCCCGCGGGCTTGGTGCGACCCTGTTTCCTCCCATGCCAGGCATCGGCTGGGCGGCGCCATCGCTAGCTGCGCCTGAGCGCTGTCCCACGCTGTTGTTTTGTGTTGGTGTGCCAGATGAGATGACGATCGGCTCGTCTGATTGTGCAGATGCATTTGTCGGTGCGTGTGGTGGCGCTGGAGTGTTCATCGTTGATTGCTGACGCGCGGAGTCACGTTCCGCCGTGAGCATCGCAATTTCGAGTGCCGAATCTTCAAGTTGGCGCACCAGACGGTCGAGCTGCTCCTGCGTCAATGTGGCGACTGTGAATTCGGCCGTGGCGGGGGTGTCGGGCGAGCTCAGCGAGAGCCTCGGTCGTGGCCGTGCGTGCTTACGAGAGAGCACTACGAGCGGCGGTGCTGTGTCGCTGAGAGACGTCTACCCTCCCCAAAAAAATTGAGATAGTGGGGAAGCGAAGGTGTGGGTGCGGTCCGAGAAGAGATCGTAGGCTCTGAATACCAAGTGTTACGAGTGCAATTGAGTGAACGAACGAGAATTGCACTATCGAAGCAAGAGTACAATGAGCGAAGGCATGAGCGAAGAATATATAGCGAAACTACAGTGGTAACGGTAATGGACTGTGGTTGTCGCGCGACGGGCCTGGGACTGAGGTTGGGAAAAAGTGTCGAAGCGGAGGCCCGGAGCGCGGGTTACCCGCCGAGCCGTGAGGTCGGGGTGCGACGTGCGAAGGTGGCGGGCGGATTGTCGATGCGAGGATTGCGAGTGGTAACGGTGCAGACTGTGGTGCTACAGTGATGTACGCGTTGAGCAGGGATGCGAAGTAAGGAAAAGGGATTTTCCTTACATTTTGCTTCGATAGTGCAATTCTCGTTCGTTCACTCAATTGCACTCGTAACAGGGTGCAAGCTAGCGTGTCCAACGGCCGAAGTGACTTGTGCTGGAGTGCTGCCAAAAGCTTCCTGTGGTATACTCTACTCGAGGTGGCATTGGATTGGAGGAACGAAGGCCACAGTTACTGCTTCCATACATGCGAACACGACGAAACAAATCACCAGAAATACATACGAATAATTCGCAAACAGGGCTGTCGCTTGCTCTGGGCTCAGGACTTAGCGGGCTGAGGTGCCCTGAATTCAGCCCTTATCCGGGTTGAGTCAGATATCAACACTTAGATCCAGAGCTGCACCTCCTTCTGCACTTTAGCGTAAACACATCATGACAGTAGATGATGTTCAATAACACGCGTAAGGGCTGCGGTACATAGCAGATGAATAAGCCGATCTACGATGCAACGGGTGGGGGAGAAAGTATGGAGGTTCTACGTAAGCAGGGGAGAGATATCAAGGGAAACGAGGGGGTAGGATGGTAGGTGGGGCTCTGAGCGTATACGTGAAATCTGGGTTAGGCGCTAAACCAGCCCGTAAGGAAAACGGGCTGACCTCAAAGTCAGCCCTTGAATTCACTGAGTTGGGCCCGAACCAGCACGTGAACTCAAGGGTAAAAAGGGCAAATGCCCTTGTAGCGACAGGCCTGTTCGCAAACCATTCTCAGCAGACCTTGTCGAGTCGACCAAGGCTTGTCATTGCGAACGAAACCCACCTCCTCTGTGTCTGCCTGTCACTGTCGCTTGCAGGTTCAAAAGTTCCCGCGGGACTGCTAGTGTCACTCCGGCGCAGGGCGGACCCTTTCGGCGCGGCCCTGCTCGCACAGATCCGCGTGACCGCGATACGAGCGCAGACATTCCACCACCCCGCCCCACCCCCGTTTCTGGTGTTGTCCAAGACCCAACTTCGCGGATATCCGCGAGTATCCGCGGAAGTTCCGCCATACGCGAGGCACTCCCCATGCCCCTCCCGGCCCTGTCCTTTCCACGCGATGCCCCTGCTTCTTGTTCCTCCCCTCCCATCCCTCACTCCTCTCCCTCCTCTCCCTCCTCTCCGTCCCCTCCATCAACTCCCTCCCTCCTCTTCCTCCTCTCTCCCCTCTCCCTCCTTCCTTTCCTCGTCTCTCTCCCATTCCACCCGTCCTCTCCGCTCCACCCCACTACACTCCTACAACCAACTTCGAATCCTCCGCCATTGCATCATCTGCCTCTAACCATCCACCATCGACCCTGCTTTCCCTCTGCCTCACGGATTGTCTTGCATTGCAGATGCAGCATAGAGAAGCGTGGACTTGTCTTGGTTTTGTTTTGTAACCGCTGCTTTCGACTCTGGTAGTAACGCTTCTATTGTCCGATGGCATTAATGGCTAATAGTTAATCCTGTTTCAAGCCTTACCCGCTTTGACTATTGTGGTGTTACTTTCTTTCGGTTTTTAGCTGGTTTTGCTTGGTGTCGCTAAGCTTTAGGTCCGACCCAAACGTCCTAGTTAGCCCTTTCTTCACTCGCAGCATCCTATTTTGCTATCGTGTACAACGTTAACTTAGCCTCCGGCGCTACCGCAAACAGTTCGTCGTCGTTAGTTTCTGACGGTTTCAGTCATGTCGACGTCAACCGCGTCGCGCGTGTTCTCGGCAGACGACGACGACGCGAGGTCGAATTCGTCCGGCGAAATGGACGGATCGCTGAGCGACGACGAGGTGACGCAGCAGCGCCTGCACAGTCGCCCGCAGCTCGCGACGACGGCGGAGGATCTTACCGCGAACCTTCCCGACGATTGCCTCGTGCACGTGTTCCGGAAGCTCGGAACGTCGGATCTTGCCAGATGCTCCTTGGTGTGCAGGCGCTGGTTCATGTAAGTGAGTCCATTTCGTCGAGGCGATATACTCCCTGGTGTCGCGCTCGTCTCGTCAGCGTGTTCATGTAGGGAAATCTGGCTTTTCGTAGCATGGCGTTTGTTTATAGATTGGAGTCACCTTAGAGAATGCTAGAAAGAGCTTCAGGCTCTTCGTATTATGCCGTTTGCCAATGACTTCGTTTCCGTCTGCGTACCTCGCGCCGTTGTACGTTAGCGACTTGGGATGCCTTCATTTACGTAGGCGAACCATGTGCGTGGGAATCGTTTAACGATGTCAGATACTCATACGTACACGTGCTTTGATAAAGCGGCATACCCGCAAGTTAGATATATTGAATAATTTTCTCTCTTATTCACGGCGTACGAGATAGTACAGTCCAGCTTTTCTGATTCCGTGTCTAGCGGGATGCTAGCTCGTGTACGTTGTGGTGAGGACGCTGAAGTTTGCCCACACCAGAGTCTCACCACCCCCTCTCCTCCGTCGTCTCTCTCTCCGGTCGTTTCGAGGTGGCTTTTGAGTCGACTCAAAAGTCACCTTGCTGAAATTTGCCCACGCCAGAGTCTCACCACCCACTCTTCTCCCTCGTCTCTCGTTCCGGCCGTTTCTTTCGCAGGCTGGAGGCGGAAACGCGACCAAGCATGTCGCTGCGCGCGACTCTAGACGCCGCTCCGGTCCTCGCGAGCCTGTTCACGCGGCTCGCCGGCGTGCAAAAGCTGGTGTTGAAATTCTAGATTGCTCCTCCCCTCCTTCTTCCCCCTTCCCTCGTTCCCTGCGATTCCTTCACAGGTTAGACGCGGAGACCAGGCCAAGCATGTCGCTGCGCGCGACTCTAGACGCCGCTCCGGACCTCGCGAGCCTGTTCAGGCGGTTCACGGGCGTGCAGAAGCTGGTGCTGAAATGCGAGCGCAACGTGCTGAGCATCGATGACGCGTCCTTGGATACCATCGCCCGGCAGTGCGTTTACCTGCGGAAACTCAAACTCAAGAACTGCCGACAGGTGAGGGTGGTGGTGTGGGAGGGAGTGTGGGAGCATGTGGGAGGGAGGTGAGGGGTGGAAGCTCATGCGGAAATGCGAGCGCAACGTTCTGAGCATCGATGACGCGTCCTTGGATACCATCGCCCGGCAGTGCGTGTACCTACGGAAACTCAAACTTAAGAACTGCCGACAGGTGAGTGGAGGGGGAGAGAGTGTGGGAGCCTGCAGGGAGGGCATGAGCTGTGGCAATGGTTTCCAAGCACTCTCAACTCCTGTGAACCACTCTATATTCCTCTCACCAACACCAGACTACGGACGATGGCATGGAGAAGGTTCACCCGTGCCTGTCCGGAGCTTCAAGGTTCCTTAAAAGCAAATCTTTGCCCTCCCTTGAGTCCCTCTCAACTCTTTCCACCCCTCTGAATTCCTCTGAACGCTTCTGTACTCTGCTCGCCACCAGATCACGGACGATGGCATGGAGAGGTTCGCCCAGGCCTGTCCGGAGCTTCGGAAGTTCTCGTGTGGGAGCTGCGGGTTCGGGCTGAGGGGGCTCAACGCCCTGCTCAATGGCTGCATCCACCTTGAGGACTTAACCGTCAAACGAAGGTACAAATGGAGTGTCTGGGTGGAAAATCAAAGACATCAATACTCTCATTGCCTAATGACCGTGGTACGCCCATTTTTGCTTTTGTCCGACTCGATCTCTCCCCACGCGCACCTCTTGCTGAAGTGCCTGTCTCTGAAGAGCCTCTGCTTGTATACATTCTCTCTCGTGCATCCCTGCATGTTATTAGAAAACACCTCTTCCCCGTATTCCCCTTTCCTCCCCCCGCCCATCCCTCTTCCCCCATTTCCCCTTTCTCCCCTGTTATGTCATCCTGTCCCCCCTTCCCCGCACCCCCCCTCCCAGCCTGCACCCCTCATTGCCTAAAGACCGCGTCACGCAGATCCCACACGTGTCGGACTCGCTCTCTCCTCCGGCCAACCTCTCTCTGAAGTGCCTCTGCTCGTATGGATGCTCACGTTGCCTCCACCCTTTCCCCCCCTCCCCCCCTCCCCCCCTCCCCCCCTCCCAGCCTGCACCCCTCATTGCCTAAAGACCGCGTCACGCAGATCCCACACGTGTCGGACTCGCTCTCTCCACCGGCCAACCTCTCTCTGAAGCGCCTCTGCCTCAAGGACCAACGCCAGTCACACATCTGGGTGCCGCTGCTGCAGGTGAGCGTGAATTTCCCTCCTCCTCCCCCTTCCTCTCCCACCTTTTCCTCCCGTCTTCCCACTCTCCACCTTGACCCCTTCCCAACTCTCCTCCGGCCAACCTCTCTCTGAAGCGCCTCTGCCTCAAGGACCAACGCCAGTCACACATCTGGGTGCCGCTGCTGCAGGTGAGCGTGAATTTCCCTCCTCCTCCCCCTTCCTCTCCCACCTTTTCCTCCCGTCTTCCCACTCTCCACCTTGACCCCTTCCCAACTCTCCTCCGGCCAACCTCTCTCTGAAGCGCCTCTGCCTCAAGGACCAACTCCAGTCACACATCTGGGTGCCGCTGCTGCAGGTGAGCGTGAATTTCCCTCCTTCTCCCCCTTCCTCTCCCACCTTTTCCTCCCGTCTCCCCACTCTCCACCTTGACCCCTTCCCAACTCTCCTCCGGCCAACCTCTCTCTGAAGCGCCTCTGCCTCAAGGACCAACGCCAGTCACACATCTGGGTGCCGCTGCTGCAGGTGAGCGTGAATTTCCCTCCTCCTCCCCCTTCCTCTCCCACCTTTTCCTCCCGTCTTCCCACTCTCCACCTTGACCCCTTCCCAACTCTCCTCCGGCCAACCTCTCTCTGAAGCGCCTCTGCCTCAAGGACCAACGCCAGTCACACATCTGGGTGCCGCTGCTGCAGGTGAGCGTGAATTTCCCTCCTCCTCCCCCTTCCTCTCCCACCTTTTCCTCCCGTCTTCCCACTCTCCACCTTGACCCCTTCCCAACTCTCCTCCGGCCAACCTCTCTCTGAAGCGCCTCTGCCTTAAGGACCAACGCCAGTCGCACATCTGGGTGCCGCTGCTGCAGGTAAGCGTGTTTCCTTCCCGCCCTTCCCCTGCCCGCCCTCCCCTCCGCTGCTGCAGGTGAGCGTGTTCCCCTTCTCGTGGTCTTTAAGTAGTCACACTAATGGTTTTTGCTGTTGCTGCTGCATGCCACATCAAGGCCAGGAACCCTCGTCCTGGCGCGCAACACAGGGCACTGGGATCAAGTGCTTTTGCTGGGTATCTCACTCCTCTCCGACTCTCCTTTCCTACCTTCTGTCACATTGTTTCTGCTGCTGCAGGCCACGTCGAGGCTAGAAACCCTAATTTTGGCACGGAATGCGGGGCACTGGGACCAGGTGCTCGTTAGCTCTCTCAGGGAGAAGCTCACTCCGGAGCTGTCTCAGGTGAGAGTCAGGTGTATCTTCAGGGTGGTATCAGGTGTTTAAAGGTGACCCCAGAGCTCTCTCAGGTGAGTGTCAGGTGTATCTTCAGGTGAATCTGGTAATATCAGGTGTAAGGTGCACTGGGACCAGGTGAAGGGGATCGCAGTGCATCGGCAAGTGTCCCAAGCTGGAGGCGTTGGTGATGGTGCACACCAACGAGTGCACCGATGCCGGCATGGCGGCTGTAGCAGCTGGCTGTAGCAACTCTTGCCTGCCTGTCCCCTTCCCTGCCCCCCCACAGATATAGAGGGTGCAGATAACGGACAAGGGACTTCAGTGCATCGGGAAATGCCCCAAGCTAGAGGCGCTGGTGGTGGTGCGCACACCGGAGTGCACTGATGCCAGCATGGCGGCTGTAGCAGCGGGCTGTAGCGATCTTCGCCCCTGTCCCTTCAAGCTTCCCCCTCACCCCCACAATCCGCCTTCTTCAACCCCTCTCTCCCCCACTTCTTCAACCCCCCTTCCCCCCATCTTCACCCCCCGACCCCCCACCCCCCTCAACCCAGATTTACGTGGAGAGGGTGCAGATAACGGACAAGGGACTTCAGTGCATCGGCAAGTGCCCCAAGCTAGAGGCGCTGGTGGTGGTGCGCACACCCGAGTGTACCGATGCCGGCATGGCGGCTGTAGCAGCCGGCTGTAGCGGGCTGAAGAGGCTGCACGTGGAGGGGTGGGCGCCGGGGCATCTGGGAGACCCGGGGCTGTCAGCGATCGCCAGGCACTGCCGGCAGTTACAGGTGGGTGGATCAGTGTGTCGACTGTAGCAACTGGGGCAAGAATGAAGGTGTGAGGTAGAAGGGCTGAAGAGGCTGCACGTGGAGGGGTGGGCGCCGGGGCATCTGGGCGACCCGGGGCTGTCAGCGATTGCCAGGCACTGCCGGCAGCTGCAGGTGGGTCAGTGAGGTGGGGTGGTGCTTATGAGCACCAACTTATGAGCTCCAGCCCGTGAGCTCCAGCCCGTGAACACCATGGGCTCCGAAACTACAATCGTGAAATGGACACGCTTTCAGCGACGAGGCTCATTTCCCCGAGTTTTTCCACTCCCCTTGTCTTACCTTCCCCCCCCACCCCCCTCCTTCCCTCTTTTCTCCCTGTCTGCCGTCTCTCCTATCTTCAGGAGCTGCTGCTGGTGTTCCATGCCTGCACCGTCTCCTCCCTGCAGCTCCTCGCCTCCAACTGCCCGTCTCTCGAGCGCCTCACTCTCTTCTTAAGTCCCTTATTTTCCCCAACCTTCCAACCCCTCCCCCCATTCCCTTCCCCGCTAACAGGAGCTGCTGCTGGTGTCCCATGCCTGCACCGTCTCTTCTCTCCAACTGCTCGCCTCCAACTGCCCTTCCTTAGAGCGCCTCACGCTCTGCTCAGGCCACAACATGGGAGACCCAGAGCTCGCCACCCTCGCCTACTCCTGCTCCAACCTCCGCCGCCTCTGCGTGAAAGCCTGTAACAAGGTTACTGACCTCGGGATTTACGCGCTCGCGAATGGGTGCCCGAGCCTGCAGCGGCTGAAGGTGAGGCGGTGTCCGGCTGTTTCGGCGCATTCGCTGAGTGTTCTGCAGGAGCAGAGGCCGACGTTGGTGATTACGCAGGAGAGGAGTCGGGGCGGGGTGGGGAGAGGGGGGGAGAGAGGGGAAGGGAGGGAGGGCGGTGGGGGGAGGAGAGAGGGTGGAGGAAGGGGAGAGGGAGGGGCTGTTGTTGTTGGTGGTGGTGCTGGCGGTGCTGGTGGTGATGGTGATGGTGCAGATGGGGGGGTTGGGGGTGGTGCGGGTGGGGGTGGTTTGGGTGGGTTGCTGGGTGAGGGATCTCAGCTTCGGAATCTTGGAGAGAGAATAGGGCTGTTGGGAATGGGTGGGGGAGGTTGGGGGGGAGCAGGGGCAGCAGGAGGAGAAGGAAGGGGTTTGGATCACCAGCAGCAGCAGCAGCAGCAGCACCACGATCATCAGCATGAGCATCACCACCATCACCATCAGACCCAGAACCGTGTGCAAGGGAGAGGGATGGGGGGAGGAGCTGGGGGGAACGGTGCTTCTGCCCTTGGTGTCGCTGGTAATGGGGAGGGCGGTGGTGGTGATGGTGATGGCATTGGTGGTATTGGTGGTGGTGGTGTGAGGAATGTTTCTCCCTTGCGGGCTGGTGGTCTGCTTAGATTGGCGTCAGCAGGAGATGCCAGGCGTGGTGCTGGTACTGCCGCTGCCGCTGGTGCTGGTGCTGGTGATGCTGACGCGTGTTTAGCAGCGGCTGCGGCAGCAGGAAGAGGTGGAGCAGGAGCAGGGCCAAGAGGGGCGCAAAGGTTCGCCTCATTCGTCACAGGCACGCTGAGGAGGTTTTTGGGGCAGCCCTCCCCTTCCTCACCTTGTGGAGGTTCGGGAACAGAAGGAGGTTCGGGTACAGGAGCTGGAGGTCCGGGAACGGCTGTACGTACGGGTATGGAGGCCTCGGATCTTGCTGAGCTGGCAGGTTCGGGAAGTCCAGGCGCGGTGGGTAACAATCGCAATAACCCCTATAATATTGGTTCAAGCAGGACTCACGACAACAACATCAACGGTGCTGCTTTTACTAGTAGCACCAGTGCTCGCACTGCTGCTGCTGCAGCTGCCGCTGCTGCTGTTGCGGGTGGTGGTGGTGGGGGGTTTGGTCGAGGCGGTGGGGGTGGGAGCAGCAGCAATGCTGGCCCAAGCAGAGCCAACAGTGGTTGGACGTACGTCACTCCCTCTGGTAGCGTTTCAGCTGCAGCTGCTGGTGGTTCCAATCCTGCTGGCAGTGTGACCGCGGGTCCTGCACGTGCGCATCGTTCCAGCAGCATCAGCAGCAGCAGGTCCCCTTTAAGATCCCCTTTGGGGTCTCCTAGGCGATCACCCTTGAGAGGCTCGTCTTTGACTGCGGGGGCTGATGTTGCTGGGCCAAGCACCACCAGCACCAGCAGCAGCACCACCGGCGCCAACCACAGCAGCAGGTCCCCTTTGAGGTCGCCCATGGGATCGTTTTTTAGAAGCAGTGCTTCTGTGGGGTGTGATGGAGCGGGAGGGAGTGGAGGGAGTGGTGGGGAAGCAGGGAGGGAGTCCGGGGCGGGGAGAGGTTATAGGGCTCGCCCCCTCACGCCCCCGCTGCACCTCCCGCTGCGGTCTTCCCCCTCGCCTGTGCCTGCTCGCCCTGCTGAAGCCCCACCCCGGCTCACTGGCAGCGCTAGCGGCACTGGTGGCAGTGGTGGCAGTGGTGAGGGTGGTAGCAGCAGCAGCGGTGGGGGGGGTGGTGGGGGGGAAACTGGGGGTGTGGGAAGGGAAAGAGTGATTGAAGGAGGTTGTGCAGCAGGTTTGGCTGCAGGTTCGGAGGCAGGTTTGGGGGCAGGTTTGGGGGTAGGCGGGGTAGGCAGAGGGTCAGGCACAGAGCAGGGAGCAGGAGGTGAGAGAAGGACAGAGAGTGTGGTAGGAGCAGAGGGGTTGGGGGAAACAGAGGCGGGTGGGGCTGCTGGGGGGTTACCAGAAGCAGCAGGGGCGGCTGGGCAATTGGTGGCCCTTGGGATCAGGGAAAGAGAGTGGGCTACTGTTATGGCTGGTGGTGCTGCTGGTGATGGTGCTGGTGGTGGGGCGCAAATGGGTAACTGGGAGCATGGTGTAGGAGATACAGAAGAGCAGGTGCAAGGGTTTGGGGAGGGGATGAATGGGATCGGAGGACAGATGCAGAGATAATGATGCAGCGATAAGAGGAATTGGGTTTAGCAAGCACTGCATGGAGGGAAAAGCGGACGCTAGAGTGCAACTCGGTGCACTCGAATGCGCAAGGTTTTAACGAGGTAAAATAGGGTGGATGGAATATGGTTGCAGTAGGGTTGGATGAAAAAGCCTGCAAACTGTCCGTGCCTTTGGCACGGGCAAATTGCTCCAAGATTTGAGAGGTGCGGTGCAGTATTGATAGGTGTATTACATGCGCTACTAGTTTTAATTCTGTGCAGATTTCTGCACGTATAGAATGAGTTATGTTAATATGCTAGTATATTTAGCACTGTATTTTCAGAAATCTTATTTCCGGAATTTTACAGTGTGGTACCTATGATGAAGTGAATTGTGTTGGTATTTTTTTCGCTCGAATACATAAATAATGTCCTTCAACGAGACCTGCACCTCGATATTGTCTCGCGCCTTGATATTACCCAAAGCCTTTCTGATCAGCACTTTCTTCCGCCTCCTAAGCGAGGCTTTTAATCTCCACCACATCACCTCCTGAAGTTGCGGTAGTTTCTGCGGCGCGCCGCATCCGTCGCCGCCCGCCAAAAGCTAATCCCCTCTTTTGCTTCTACGCAGCGTCTTGTGTCCGTTTGAAGAGCCTCGGAATTCCGCTCTGATCTTACCTGCCTTATTCCACTGAGAGAATGCCGACCGTTAGCGTGGGTCGCGATCGGCTCTTCGCCGCGCTCGGCAAAACTTACAGTGAGTCGTCAAACTACCAATGTGAGGTGACTAACCTTTTACGGCGCCCTAGTAGTTACGTATTAGTGTGGATCACGTAATCTCGTGTGAGTCGATATTTAGTGTGCGTCGTCACACGGTCTCTGGTTTTGGTGTTTTGAACCTGATGAAGTGTGCTTCAGGGGGAAAATATCGCGTGTTTAGAAAGTCGTAACCCTACGCGAGTCATGGTTCGGAATCGTGTCAAGTTAGCGAAGAACCCTACATCGGGAGTACGGACACCTCCCCCTCCAGGATTTTCGTTTCAACAGCATCACTTTCCCTCCGTGAGTTTCTGTACGATGAAGTTATGGAGCTAGTGCGCAGTTTCCCTCGTTTGTCACGAAGCTTCCCTCCTCCATCAGCTTTCGCCGTTCGTTTTCCAGCAGACAGACTTCGTTCACTGAATTCTGTGTAGCAGATAGATTTCGTTCGCTGGATTTGGTGCAGTGCTAGTATTTTTTAGTGCGTCATTGGCTCTGATTCTGTCAGGCGGTTGCTGATTCTGTCAGGCGGTTGCTGATTCTGTCAGGCGGTTACTGATCCTGTCAGGTGGTTACTGATCCTGTCAGGCGGTTACTGATTCTGTCAGGCGGTTGCTGATCCTGTCAGGTGGTTACTGATCCTGTCAGGCGGTTACTGATCCTGTCAGGTGGTTACTGATCCTGTCAGGCGGTTACTGATCCTGTCAGGTCGTTACTGATCCTGTCAGGTGGTTGTTGATTCTGTCAGTTGGTTATGAATTCCGTTTCGGGTGGTTGCTGATTCGTCTGACACTCCTCGCCTCCGCTCTTCGTCACATTCCTTTTCCTTCCTCGCATTGCCTGATCTCTCCTCTCCGCTACATCTGTGCGTCCGTTGGTATGATCGTTCAGCGGAGGAGGAATTCGATGAGCTCTGCTTCGAGTTCGGCATCGAGCTTTCTCTTCCCACATTCCCCACATTCCCCACATTGCCTGATCCCTGCTCTCCCCCTCTCATTCCCGTGTGTCTGTCTGTCTGTCCGTATGATCGTTCAGCGGAGGAGGAATTTGATGAGCTCTGTTTCGAGTTCGGCATCGAGCTTGATGATGTGGTGAGTGTGATGCTGTGATGTGCTGTGATGTGACTGTAAAGAGAGCTCTGCTTCGTGTTCGGCATTGAGCTTGATGATGTGGTGAATGTGACTGTAAGGAGAGGTGGGAGATGTATCCAGCCAGTTTGTTTAATGATGATACGGAGCTTGATGACGTGCTGAGTGTGATGTGACTGTAGAGAGAGCTCGGTGACTCAGTCAGCGCGTGATGACGTGATGGTAACTTGAAACTCGAAAGGATAACCATCAAGGTTCCTGCTAACCGCTACGACCTGCTCTGCCGGGAGGGGCTGCTGTACGTCTCTTACCCTCATACCCTCCCATTCCCTCGTCCAGACAACAGGGAAGGCAATAATCCGCAAGGAGAAGCATTTAACGGACGAGGGTCCCTCGGAGGACGAGGAGGTGATTTACAATATCGAGGTGCCTGCCAACCACTACGACCTGCTGTGCCTGCCTCCAGGGGCCGCAGCCTGCCATCTCTTATTCTCCTGCCCCCGTGTTCTCCCCCTCCTTTCCACAGACCACAGAGAAGGCGATCATTCGCAAGGAGAAACACCTGGCGGATGAATCACCTTCAGAGGACGAGGAGGTGATCTACAAGATCGAGGTGCCTGCCAACCGCTGCTTCCCAAACCCCCTCCCCTGCCGGCCTTCAGACCACAGAGAAGGCTATTATCCGCAAGGAGAAGCACCTAACGGACGAGGGTCCAGCGGAGGACGAGGAGGTGATCTACAAGATCGAGGTGCCTGCCAACCGCTACGACCTGCTGTGCCTGGAGGGGCTGGCCCGCTCGCTGCGCATCTTCCTGGGAATGGACCCTGCGCCCCAGTTCAAGCTCGCTGCTGCTGCCAGCCCCATCCGCATCACTGTCAAGCCTGAGGTGAGCAGGGAGCTGGGTGCTAGAGTTGAGTAGGCCTCTGTAGAGCCCTCTCTCAGCCAGCACTGCTGAGAATTCTCAAAAGTCGTACCAATAGAGCCCTCTCTCAGCCAGCACTGCTACGACCTGCTGTGCCTGGCCTGGATGGTCTGGCCTGCTCGCTGCGCATCTCCCTCCCTCGGCATGGATCCTGTTTCTCAGCACCGCTGCAACGGTTTCATGCTTGCTGCGTGCCATCTCTCTCGTCTCCTCTTCCCCCTGCGCCATTCCCACCCTGCCCCCTTGCCCACCCTGTGAGCCCACACAGACGGCCCTGATCCGCCCCTTTGTGGTGGGGCCAGTCCTGCGCAGTGTCACATTCAACCAGCAGCTTACCCTTCTCCTCTCCCATTTCCCTACACCACTCCTTGTCCCCACCCGTCCCCCAACCTTCTGCGAACCACACAGACGGCCCTGATCCGCCCCTTCGTGGTTGGGGCAGTGCTGCGCAACATCACGTTCGACCAGCACCGCTACAACAGCTTCATCGACCTGCAAGACAGGCTGCACCAGAACCTGTGCCGGTGAGATGCCTTACGCTGCGAGTAACATTTGTCTGCCAGTGTTGTTACTCTCACGTTTCACCAGCACCGCTACAACAGCTTCATCGACCTGCAAGACAGGCTGCACCAGAACCTGTGCCGGTGAGATTCCGTGCTGCTGCGCTTTCCTTCCCCCATCCTCCACACACCCCACCATACCCACCCAATGCGCACCCCATACCCAACGCACGCGTACCTGTCCATTTCAACCCAACCCCAAACCCACCAATCCATTTTTATCCTCCCACCCCCCACCCGCGTCCTCCCCTCTCCCCTCCTCGCAACAGTCGCCGCACGCTTGTGGCGATCGGGACACATGACCTAGACACGCTCACACCACCCTTCACGTATGAGGTGGGTGGATTGGGGCAGATATGGATTAAGGCTGGCAGGTATGCTATGGAATAGGCCAGGCAGGTATGGCCTAGAGTCGCCGCACGCTTGTGGCGATTGGGACACACGACCTCGACACACTTACACCACCCTTCACTTATGAGGTGGGTGGGTTGGGGCAGATATGGGCTAGGCGAGGCGGGTGTGGGTTATAGTTCAGGCACACTTGTGGTAGTAGGTACCCTGTGTTCATCACTCACTCCTCCACTCGGTCTTGTTCTCCCCGCTTTCTTCCAATCCACCAAGTCGCCTCCCTCTCCTCTCCACAGCCAATCCCTCACTCTCCCCCTCCCCTCCCCACTCCCCCCCCTCCCCTCCCCTCCTTTCGCCCCAAATTTTTCCACGGTTCCCTCATTTCACTCCTCGTTGGTTCATTGCCTTTTTTCCTTGCGTCATCACCTTTGTTCCGTGTTTTTCATCCTTGTTTCTTCATCGTGTCACCGCCTGTCTTCCTTGTTTCTTCCCTGCCTTCCATCCCACTGCAGGCCCTACCTCCCACGGAGATCAAGTTTGTGCCACTCAAGCAGGTGCCAACCTCCATCCGAACCCTCCTGCACCCTGCTCCACCCATTTCACCACCCACACCACCGCTCTAGCTTCTGCTCCATACGTGACTACTCAGTGACACTATACGACCAGCCTAGCACCTCCCCACCACCCAGATTTGGCGAGTTAGAAACTGGCTCTGCATGACTTTCTTTCCGCTCGCTGCTGTGTTTTGTTTGCCATCTCCTGACTGGGCTTCTTTTGCCTTGTTTCTGTTTGTTTGTTTGTTTTTTTCCCCTCTATTTCTGTACTCATTTCCATTTTTCCGCTCCCCTTTCCCGCTGACATCAGACCAAGGAGTTCAATGCTGCTGAGCTCATGGAGTTTTACAAGGTAACTATATGCATGAAAGAATGCACAGTACACTGCCATGCGTAATACAAGCCCAGCCAGGGCACCCCCTTCCCCCCTGGACATCACATGCAAGTCCGAAAGCAAGCTAAAGACGTTTCTCCTGCTAAAGACAGGAAGCAGGGCATCATGGCGCCCTGCTTCCCCCCTCCCATCTTTCAACACCTCATATTATAGAATTGGGAAGTGTCAGTACCCTCTCCCATTTCTCATAACGCAACGCACTGCATTCTCTTCTACGGCACACACATTCCATCCCCGTTATTGTTGCAGTCTGACAACAAGCTTAAGAAGTTCCTACACATCATCAGCGAATCGCCTGTCTTCCCAGTGATCTATGATGCCAACAGGTGTGTGTATACCCTTATAGCGCAAACTTGCCCTTCATGTATGATACTACGTATGTCCAGCTCCAGTTATCTTTCAATGTCTGACGCTCAGCTCAGTTATCTTTCGACTAGCCTTCGAGACCCCCTATTGGAGGAAAATGTTAACTGATTTATGATGCGATGTGCTGTGGTGTGCTACATCCGACTCCGATGGCAGCAGTTTCACATCAGCCTCCACCAATTCTTCATATTGACAAACCAGTTCATTTTTTCCTCTCCACCCTTGCCGCCATTCCCCCCCTCTCTCGCCCCCGTGTCTCTCTCCCACTCTCTTCAGAACCGTGCTGTCTCTCCCGCCGGTGATCAACGGCTCACATTCAGCCATCAAGCTGACCACGCGCAACGTGTTCATCGAATGCACCGCCACTGACCTCACCAAGGCCAAGATCGTTCTCAACACCGTTGTCACCATGTTCTCCGAGTTCTGTGAAAACAAGTGCGTAAGGGACACTGGAGATAAGTGTAAGGGACTACAGACGTCGGGTAGGATTGGAAGGGCTCACACCCTCACTTGGTGTGCAGTGCAGTGCACTAGAAGGGCCACTGACTGGTCTCACCAAGGCCGAGATCGTGCTCAAAACCGTGGTTACCATGTTCTCAGAGTTCTGTGACACCAATGAGTGGAGCAATAACTGGAGAGGAGAGGCTCTAGTGGAAGCTGTACTGTACTGTGCAATGAAAACAGCCACTGGCCTCACAAGACCGAGATCCGCCTTTTGAGGCGCCTCGAAAGTTGCTAGTGGAAGCTGTATTGTACTGGGTGCAATGCTTGAAAAGCGCCACTGGCCACACAAAGGCCGAGATCGTGCTCGACACCGTTGTTACCATTTGACTTTTGAGTCGACTCAAAAGTCAACACGGTCAACATTGTGGTCGACGCCGTCGTTGGCATTTATTGTCAGCCCCTCGTATTGATTTTGGTTTGTTCTTCACTATTTCTCTACCACATTGTTTATTTCCACTTCAGGCTCGAGGAGGAACTGGTGGAGGTGGTATCTGTGGAGGGGCGAGTTGAAAGAACCCCCTTGTTAATGCTCACACACGACTACACTTCACTGCACTGTGGATTTTCTTTGCAGGTTCGAGGTGGAACCGGTGGAGGTGGTATCTACGGAGGGGCAGGTGGCGGTGTACCCTCAGATGGAGGAGAGGGATGTGGAGACATCGGTGGGGTATATCAACAAGGCTATTGGCGTTGACCTTAAAGCCGAGGAGGTGAGGCTCCAGGTTGAATGTGGTTGAATGTGGTTGATTGTGGGTGGTTGGGTTCGCACACACACATGGGGGGCAGGTGGCAGTATACCCTCAGATGGAGGAGAGGGATGTGGAGACATCGGTGGGGTATATCAACAAGGCTATTGGCGTTGACCTTAAAAGCAAAGGAGGTGAGAGAATGAGGGAGATTGTGATTGTGGTTGAATGTGGGTGTGTGGGTTCACACATGTGAGGGGACTCACATCACACACTCATATTCCCGATATGGACTCCTTTTTCCGTTGCCCATTCTATCCGTTTTATCCCTTTCAGATCGCCCGTCTGCTGATGTGCTTGCAGGTGCCATCGAAGGTGGTGGAGGGGCGGAGAGGGGAGGACAGACAGCCACACTCAACCTCCCAACATGCACTCTCCTTGCTGCCTTGCCCTTTGTTTCCCTCGTTTCGCCCCTTTCATCCTTCCAGATCGCCCGGCTGCTGACGCGCATGCAGCTGCCATGAAAGGTGGCGGAGAGGGGAGGACGGGGCGGAGGTGGTGAGCGTGACAGTGCCGCCCACTCGCAGCAACATACCCCTTGCCCCGTTTGCCCCTTCTGTGCCATGCCATGTTTCCCTCAGATCGCCCGGCTGCTGACGCGCATGCAGCTGCCGTCCACGGTGGTGGAGGGGCGGAGAGGGGAGGACGGGGCCGAGGTGGTAAGCGTGACAGTGCCGCCCACTCGCAGTGACGTGCTGCACCCCTGTGACATTATGGAGGTGAGAGGTGATTAGAGTGATTCATGATATGTATACTACTGAGAGACTGAAGTATGTTGGGCATGTGACATTAATTGTGAGGACGGGACGGGGCGGAGGTGGTGAGCGTGACAGTGCCCCCCACTCGTAGCGATGTGCTGCACTCGTGTGACATCATGGAGGTGAATGTGATTATATTGATGCTGCCCAGTGACATAGGGATGTTATTGAGGACACGCCCTCACATACATGTGAAGGTTGCATATGGTATTGAGTTGACAGTCGGTGTGTGGGTGTTGATGTTGACTCTCTTCCATACTCCTTCATTCCCTTTCCTCTCACCCTCCTGGACGTGGCCATTGCACACGGCTACAACAACATCGCTCGCACCGAGCCCAAGACAGTCTGTGAGGGCAAGCAGCAGGCGCTGAACTTCCCTTCCCCCCATCCTCATTCCCTTCTGTTCCACTCCCTCCCCAACACACACGCACACACATCAGGACGTGGCTATCGCACACGGTTACAACAACATTGCTCGCACAGAGCCCAAGACGGTGTGTGAGGGCAAGCAGCAACCTCTCAACCAGCTGTGCGACCTGCTGAGGGGCGAGGTGGCCCAGGCTGGCTTCACAGAGGTGCTCACGTGGGCGCTCATCGCGCGCAGCGAGAACTTTGAGATGGTGAACTTGAAGGATGATGGCAAGACGGCTGTTGTCATTGGCAACCCGCGCTCTGCTGATTTCGAGGTGGGTGTGTGGGTCTGTGTGTGTGGGGGGGGGGGAGAGAGGGAGGAAGAGCAAGGCAGAGGTGCTCACGTGGGCGCTCATCGCTCCCAGTGAGAACTTTGAGATGGTGAACCTCAAGGACGATGGCAAGACGGCTGTTGTCATCGGAAACCCGCGGTCGGCTGATTTCGAGGTGGGTGCTTTTGGGCGGGTGTGTGCTCGCTTTGGGAAGGCAGTTGTTATCGGAACCCCACGGTCCGCTGATTTCGAGGTGGGTGCATGCGTGCGAGTGTTTCTGGATGACCGTCGTAAGTTAGTCCTGTTTATATTCTATCCTCTTCCTTTCTACAGATGGTGCGCTCCTATCTCCTCCCCGGAATGCTCAAGACCCTCGCCAGCAACAAGGACTCGTCTCGCGTCGCCCTGTCAGGCCAGAGGTCGTAGGAGGTGCCTCATGCTCCCTGCTGATCCCTCTGTCAACCCCACACTCTCCCCCCTCCCCAGGTGGTGCGCTCGTCTCTCCTCCCCGGAATGCTCAAGACCCTCGCCAGCAACAAGGACTCGCCCCGCCTTGTGAAGCAGTGTCTCACATCTGTCCTTCATTCCTACATTCACCTGCTTCCCCGCACTATTTCCCCACATCCCCCCTCCCCAGGTGGTGCGCTCGTCTCTCCTCCCCGGAATGCTCAAGACCCTCGCCAGCAACAAGGACTCGCCCCGCCTTGTGAAGCAGTGTCTCACATCTGTCCTTCATTCCTACATTCACCTGCTTCCCCGCACTATTTCCCCACATCCCCCCTCCCCAGGTGGTGCGCTCGTCTCTCCTCCCCGGAATGCTCAAGACCCTCGCCAGCAACAAGGACTCGCCCCGCCTTGTGAAGCAGTGTCTCACATCTGTCCTTCATTCCTACATTCACCTGCTTCCCCGCACTATTTCCCCACATCCCCCCTCCCCAGGTGGTGCGCTCGTCTCTCCTCCCCGGAATGCTCAAGACCCTCGCCAGCAACAAGGACTCGCCCCGCCTTGTGAAGCAGTGTCTCACATCTGTCCTTCATTCCTACATTCACCTGCTTCCCCGCACTATTTCCCCACATCCCCCCTCCCCAGGTGGTGCGCTCGTCTCTCCTCCCCGGAATGCTCAAGACCCTCGCCAGCAACAAGGACTCGCCCCGCCTTGTGAAGCAGTGTCTCACATCTGTCCTTCATTCCTACATTCACCTGCTTCCCCGCACTATTTCCCCACATCCCCCCTCCAGGTGGTGCGCTCGTCTCTCCTCCCCGGAATGCTCAAGACCCTCGCCAGCAACAAGGACTCGCCGCGCCCGGTGAAGCTCTCTGAGGTGTCTCATATCTCTCCTTCATCCCCACTTTCATCTGTTTCCCCCACTCACTCTTTCCCATCCCAGGTGGTGCGCTCCTCCCTCCTCCCCGGAATGCTCAAGACGCTTGCCAGCAACAAGGACTCGCCGCGCCCAGTGAAGCTCTTTGAGGTGTCTCATGCTCCTGCTAGTTCTCCCTTCAAGCAATCCCTGTCCCCGCCCACCCCTCTACAGGTGGTGCGCTCGTCTCTCCTCCCCGGAATGCTCAAGACGCTTGCCAGCAACAAGGACTCGCCGCGCCCGGTGAAGCTCTTTGAGGTGTCGGACGTGTGCCTTCTGGACGAGAGCAAGGACGTGGGGGCGAGGAATGAGAGGAGGCTCATAGCTCTCTACTGCAACCTGCACTCTGGTTTCGAGGTCATTCACGGTCTGGTCGATCGCCTCATGGAGTCGCTGGGAGTGGCGTTTGGAGGCCAGGCAGGGGCGGACGGAACAATGGCTCTTGCCGATGGGCCGGCCACACAGGGTGACGGTGGGGATGCCAAGGCCGCTGCTGCTCTCAAGTACTTCATTGCTCCCTCACAAGTGAGTGTGCTTTGTCATGTTCCGATGCGCCCTTGCATTGCAAGGTTGCTGCTCTCAAGTACTTCATTGCGCCCTCGCAAGTGAGTGTGTGTAATCCTCTTGTTTGTCGATTCAACTAGAGAAGAGGAGATGTCGCGGCATGCCTATGGTCTGTCTGACCACCCATGCTGATGACAGGTGATGGAAAGGCTGCTGCTGCGCTCAAGGAAGTGAGTGCTGCATTGTTGGATATTTTTTCCGTCCTAGGCAACCGCACCTCCTTGTGTTCCGATTCTCTCTAGTTTCCCTCGTCTCTGCTGTTTGTCATCCATTTCGCACAGTTTTTGAGTGCCACGAGGCAATTTTTCCTGATCAGGAGAGATCCTTGATTCGTTCTCATTGTGCTGTGCCCCCATTCCCTCCCATGTACCTCACCTCTGCTGTTCGTTCTCCAGTCTCCCCAGTTCTTTGGGGGGCGTCAGGCCGATATCCTCTTTAAAGGAAGATCCATTGGCACCTTTGGTGTCGTTCACCCAGAGGTGTGTCCTCATGTTGCTTCGCCGCATCTAATTTCTTTAAAAATTCGTGCTTGCTGGATCACACCATTTTTTTCTCCTCAGTTCACTATCCCTGTTTCCTCCCCTTTCTTGGCTCACTATCTCACCCCCTTCCCTGTTCTCGGCCTGCTATCCCATTCTCTTCCCACTCGACTCGCTATCCCATCTCCTCCCTTTTCTCCGCTTGCTGTCCCATTCTCCCTTTCTCGGGTTCACTATCCCACTCCCTCGCACTTTCTCAACTGCCGATGAAATTCTCCCTCTCATCCCTTCATGCCATTTCTGTTCTTTTCAGGTCCTTGCGCGTTTTGACACCCCCGATCCTTGCTCTGCTGTGGAGATTAACCTAGAGCCATTTCTTCAGTTATAGAAGTCCTTCCTTTCCTCCCCAGACCAAAACAGTAGCATACGGTAATAGAAACGTGTTCCATGTGCGGACGAAATTACAGTGTAGGTTGTGATGTAGGAACTTGGGAGGTCTGCTCTGTACTTAAGAAAGTAAGGAAGAAGTGGGCGTTTTCTTGCCACTTATGATGAACTCTCTGATACTATCCCTAGCCTCTGTCGAAACATAAAATCAGCAATTGGAAGCCTGAATGCAGCATGGGTGCAATTTTCAGCACTGGGGGTGCGGAAAAGGTTCTGCCGGGATTCGAACCCAGGTTGCTGGATTCAAAGTCCAGAGTGCTAACCACTGCACCACAGAACCGATGTTTGAGCAAGAACTCTGAGATATTAAATAGATACAAGATTCGTTCTAGGTCGGCCTGTTCTGACTTTCCCGCCAAACACTCTCGAGGCTGCTCAGGGATTGCCTCCTGTCGCGTCAGCTGCTGCTCAGATGAATTCCAGCCACCCGAACCGATTCAACCCATTCTTCCTCCTTGTCACCTCGAAAATAGTTTTCTTGCTTTGCTAGACAGTGTTGCTACTGAGTTGCTTGCTACGAAGCTTTCTCTAGACTTCAGGTAGCAGCCTGTCGGGCCCGATTCATCAACAGCAGCAGGTCAAGCGGTAGAGACTTCAGTAACAGATCCTCGTACAGTCTCTTAGCCTTACCTTCGCGTTGCTGATCCCGCGTTGCCGATAACACGGATCCGGCGTGGATGATAGCGCTGATCCCGCGTGATCGTTAGCAACTTTGTTAGTACCAGATCAGCTTTGACGTGATCGCTCCTCGCTTGGCGAAAATTCTCGGCAGTTCAGCCAACCCCATTAGGTCGTGCTGCTATCAGTGGACGAGGCGTTTCTGTTGTTTAGTCGTCTGCTGCTGCCACTGCTGCTGCTGGGTGTGCCATCGAATTTGGTAGAAGTTCGTGACCGTTGGATCCACATTTTGACGGTCAGATTCAGCCGGATCCTCGATGTTGGCAGGAGGAAATGGAGCCGTTTTGGCTCAACGGTTTCAGGTGCGTGTCCGGTATATCTTAATGGTTCAGGTGCGTGCCCGCTATAACTTGACGGTTTCAGGTGCGTGCTCGCTATAACTTAATGGTGCAGGTGCGTGTCCGCTATAACTTAACGGTTTCAGGTGCGTTCCGCTATAACTTAACGGTTTCAGGTGCGTGTCCGCTATAAACGGTTTCAGGTGCGTGCCCGCTATAACTTAACAGTTTCAGGTGCGTGCTCGCCGTAACTGATCGGATTCTTGTGAGTGTTCGCCACAACTTAGGATTCAGGTGCATGCTCGCGGTAACTTAACGGATTTAGGTGAGTGCCCGCCATAATTTATCGGATTCATGTGATTTGCTCGCCATAAATCCACGGATTCGAATTCGCGTTGCTCCTCGTAACATAACGGTTTCAGGCGCGTCGCTGCGATAACTTTCGGTTTTAATCTCGTGTTCGCCAGCGGCATTCTGTCGTTTAATGAACGGGCGATGTCCATGGTCAATGCCGTTTGCGTTTTCACGCATTGGTTCTCTGAACGTAGAATTTAGTCGACCTATCTCAGGTAAACCTGTCCCTGTGCACATGATTCGTTTCTCCCTTCCGAATACAGTACTTTCTCGATAAGTCGACCCCGCACTATGGGTACAGATGGATCGCTACACTCGTCATTGCACTCATCTACACCATTCGCGTGTTCTTCCTACACGGATATTACATAATCACGTACGGACTGGGCATCTACATGCTGAATCTGCTCATCGGGTTTCTGTCCCCTCAAGTGGATCCCGAGGCGGAAGGGCCAGTGCTGCCATCCAAGGGCAACGATGAGTTCAAGCCCTTCATCCGACGGCTACCAGAGTTCAAGTTCTGGTGAGTCGAGAGGATTGGGTTGCGGTCTAGTTTAGGGTTGCCTGCTGCTGCTGCTGTTGTTGCTGATGCATCTAGGTTTCTTTGTGATGTCTATGCTTGGCCGTTTATGCTCCTCCGTCGTTTCCTTTGTTTATTACCCTCCCTATCGTACCTCCCAACCTACTTCCTTCCCTGACCTCCCTTCCCGCCCCTACTCTCGCTGCTTCTAATTGTGCGTTTCCCAATCTTGCCTCCCTCCTCCTCCTCCCCCCCCTCTCCACCACACCCCCACACATATTTCTTCCCTGTCGCGTGCAAGTCATGACAGAGGCATGCATCGTCGCAATCACATTGACCTTCTGTCCCGTTGGATAATCATCCCTCCTCCCCCTCACCCTTATTCTCCTCCTCTCACGTCCACATTCTCCCCTCCCCCACATCTCCACCACCCCCCACCTCCTCCCCACGGCCACCCCCCCTCCTCCTCCCCCCACTTTTCCCCCACCTCGGCTCATCCTGTTTTCCTCCTCCCATCCACACTTTCCCTCCTCACTTCTCCACACACACACCCCCTCCCACCCCTCCCCCATTTCCCCTCCCCCTCCTTCTCTCTCCGCCCCAACACCCCCTATGTCCTAGGCATTTACCATGGGATTCAAATTGACCAGTGTTCCCTCCTCTCCTCGTCTCCCATCCACACCCTCCCATCCACACTCCTCTCCCATCCACACTCCTCTTCCATCCACACTCCTCTCCCATCCACACTCCTCTCCCATCCACACTCCTCTCCCATCCACACTCCTCTTCCATCCACACTCCTCTCCCATCCACACTCCTCTTCCATCCACACTCCTCTCCCATCCACACTCCTCTTCCATCCACACTCCTCTCCCATCCACACTCCTCTCCCATCCACACTCCTCTCCCATCCACACTCCTCTTCCATCCACACTCCTCTCCCATCGACACTCCTCTCCCATCCACACTCCTCTTCCATCCACACTCCTCTCCCATCCACACTCCTCTTCCATCCACACTCCTCTCCCATCCACACTCCTCTCCCATCCACACTCCTCTTCCATCCACACTCCTCTTCCATCCACATTCCTCTTCCCCATTCTTCTCCGCCCACCCCCGCACCCCTCTCTTAATCTCCTATTCTTCCATCCACATCCCCCCTCCCACCCCCACCTCTCCCAACCCACCCCTCTTTTTCCAGGTAGCAATGACCAAGGCGTTCCTGGTCGCATTGACAACGACCTTCTTCCCCATCTTTGACGTGCTGGTCTTCTGGCCCATCCTCTCTCCATTCCCCTCCTCTTCCATCCTCACGCCTCCCACCCATTTCTCCCACTTGCCCCCTCCTCTCCAGGTACGCAATGACCAAGGCGTTCCTGGTGGCGTTCACGATGACATTCTTCCCCATCTTTGGCGTGCCGGTGTTCCCTCGCATCCTCATACATCTTTTCCTCCTCTCCCATCCCCTCCTCCCCATCCCCCTCCTTTCAGGTACGCGATGACCAAGGCGTTCCTCGTGGCCTTCACGATGACCTTCTTCCCCATCTTTGACGTGCCGGTCGTCCCTCCTCTCCTCCTTCCTCCCTTCCTCCTCGTTGCCTTGTCCTCCCCTCTCCTCCCTCCTGCCCCCTCCCCTTCCCAGGTACGCAATGACCAAGGCGTTTCTCGTGGCCTTCACGATGACCTTCTTCCCCATCTTTGACGTGCCGGTGTTCTGGCCCATCCTGCTCATGTACTGGTTCACGCTCTTCGTGCTCACCATGAAGCGCCAGATCCGCCACATGATCAAATACAAATACGTCCCCTTCTCCTTCGGCAAGCAGGTGCGTGCTCTCTAGTTTCTGTTCGGGTTCTTTGGGTTTTCAAATGAAAATACAAGTGCAAATACTAATGAAGCGCCAGATTCGCCACATGATCAAACACAAATATGTCCCCTTCTCCTTAGGCAAGCAGGTGCGTATGTTTCACCTTTGGGTCTTCGGTTGTGGTTAAAACACAAACCAATAAACAAAATACAATGTATCATTTTCTTCTTTGGCAAGCAGCTTTGTGCACCTCAAATGAATTTCTGGGCTTAGTCGAAAGTGAGCTTGACTTTTAAATTCCTCCCTCCAATTTAGAATCTATCTCCTTTAATAAGGAGGTAATATCCCTTACTTGGTGTGTGTGCACCGCAGCTGCTCTCTCTCCAGTTCTTCCTTCCGCTTTCAAAAAACGTAGCATTGATTGCAACCATGTTTTTTTCCTTGAGCAAGCAGGTGATGCGTCCATGGTTGAGTTCTGAGACACCTCAAAATGTGAGACGTCTCAAAACAGGTGGAACGTCCATAATCACTTTCCCTCATTCGGTCCCTCACCTGTCTGAAAGACAAGGAGGAGGGGAGGCATAGACTTCCCAGCTCACACGTCTGCACTCCCCCACTCTGTGCTATCCCTCCGGCCCTTCTTCCGTCCTGTCTGTCACATGCAGAAGTACAAGGGGGGAAAGAAGCCTGCAGGAAAGGACGATGATGCTGTACCCATAGTCAAAACAGCCTCGCTTCCTGCCAAGTCAAAGGATTAGTTTCACATGCACAGACTCATCGACACATGGCTACATTTGTTTGCTGCAAAAGTTCTCAGCTTTGAGACTTATTTACTGCTTGGCCGGCCTCCGTCTCCCACTTTGATCGTCTCGTATACACAGGAGCTTCGGTGTTGAGTAGCATCTGATGCTAACGTTTTTTAAAAGATTTCGAGTCTTTGAAATAAAGCTGTACAAAGAGACAAAAAGTAGGGACAGCATAAATCGTAAATACCTCAGCGGTTTGTCTTGCTATAACTGGAGAGAGGTAGTGTAGTGGTGTTGGGTAGTGCGTTTGTTACGTAGAACACCATTAGCGAACGCTGGATCGATCGTGGCTTCATCAACGTTAATCCTTTCCCCGCTAGAGAATGTTTTCAGAACAGGCGCGCGTGCTTCGATACAAGGTGCTGCATTTCTTCCCGCAAAAAAAATGCTTATTGCTGCATCTGAACAACAAACGAACTCAACAACTCTCAAGGACACAACTCCCAAATAAGAAAATGCAACATGACAATATCAAATGCCCAAGCTGCTGCTTGCCCAAGCCTATCAAACGAAGTATTTTGCAACTTGATGCAAGAAACAGACTGATATAGCTAAGCTAGCAAACCTGTCTATTGTAGACCATTCTTTCCAGCCATTAGGCAACACCAACCACACCATACCTAGAACAATCTGCTACCTAAGATGGGTGCATACATACCCACAACGCCAATTCTATTGAAGATAAACCCAAGAAAGTATCGTACACCATGGTGATGATGTGGCACGCGCAGCATCTTACGTAGCATCCTGTGTGGCAGATGATGCAGGCGCGATATGATTGGTCGGAGGAACCTATGGCAGCAGCAATGCGCTGCCCACCATGCGTCCTCCTGCTGCTCTCAGATTGGTCAGAGAGTGCTCATTTATGATGTCAGCATGATGTCGGCACGCCCCCGTATGGGTGGTCAATGGGGATGGGTATGGATGGATATAAATGGGTGGTGCGGGTAATGGTTGAAGGAGGAAATGATTGGAGGAGGGACAATGTGAGATGGTGGTGTAGCGAGGCGTGTGAGCGGGAAGGTTGGCGACGAAATGAGTCGGGGGGTAGCCGCATCAAATCTAATCAGGATCAGGTCTTGTTAAGTGCTGCTGCTGCTTCTGCAGCTGCTCATGCTTCTGCTGCACACCTCCCCGCTTAGCGGAAGGTGGCAGGCTGCTCACCTCCTCTACCTGCTACTCATCTACTGCTCTAGATCTCCTCGGGCGCTTTGTGACCTTGCATAAGAGGCCGCCCGCTTCTGCTGCGTAATAAGGCCTGCTGATTTATGTTGCTACTTGGAAGCTTCAGGGATGCAGCTTCCTGGCAGCTTCGCAGCTGCTCACTGCTACTGGTTTCCTTTAATCTGATCCATTCTGACAACAGAACGTGCCACACCACACGCCAGCTGCCACGTCAGCCGCCACATCAGCTGCCACGTCAGCCGCCACGTCAGCACAGCTAGATCCCGTACGTCGCACTGAGCTTCTGCAGCAGTGGTTTGTCGGTGGACTGCAGGATTTGATCCCACGTGCCTGCCTCCACTAGCATCTGTGGGTAGGTAGGTGCATGATCAATGCAGGGGACGAGTGAAAGGGAATACTATCAAAGTCGGCCCAAACATCGGGATCTGATCCCACATGCCAGCAGACTGCACCAGCATCTGTACGTAGTAGGCAGGTGAATAAAAAACATGAGGGACGAGAGAAGTGGGCATAACACAGATCTCTGGATCCACGAGCTTAAAGCCCAGCAGCAGCTGGTGAACTTTTGCAGCAGCTAAAAAAGAACTATTTTTGCTCCCTTTACGCACCTGCTTAAAGCCCTGCAGCAGCTGGTGAATCTCAGCCTTCAGTTCTGCACTGTGGATCTCCTGAGGATGACAATAAGGGGGACAATAAGGATCTCCTTTAGAAGGGCATAAGAGGATTGCACATCGGTTGACTTGCCTGTGCATTCATGTGGGAGTGTCAATTTTTGCATGCTGTGTGTGCGTGTGCGTGCGTGCGAGTGCATGTGCGTCTGTGTGTAAACGCGCGGGGACGGGGTGAATGTGCATGTGTGCGTAGGAGGAGTGGTGATGGCGGGAGAGGCGGAGAAGCAAGGGTAAATCGGCCTAATTGCAGGCCTCATTTCCATCAGATGTGCAGATAGCTGATCATTGATCATGGACCCACCCTCCAGCTGCCGATGGCGAGCAGCAGCGGATGGATGGCGGTGGAGGCTGCCATGGGGTTGAGACGCAGCTGGGGGGATGGGGGTGGGGGTGGGGACGGTAGGGGGAACGATGGAAAAAATCAGGGGGGAAGAAGCAGCAGTGGGTGGATGGCAGCAGATGGTGCCATGGGGGTGAGGCGCAGCTTGGATGTGGGGGGGAGATTGGGGGAAGGGAGATGCGAGGGGGGAGGGATGGGGAGAGGTATGGGGAAGGCGTGGGAAAGGCAAGGGAGAAGCAGCAGTGGGTGGATGGATGGCTGAGAATGCTGCTATCGGTTTAAGGAGAAGCTGGTGTATGGGCATAGGGGGGGAGAGGTGGGGGAATAGGAGGGAGACGCCCTCATAGTTATGAGAGCAGGAGGATGAGAGTGGGGCGTGTAGAGTGATGGGAGAAGGAACATAAATGCATAGTTATAGAACGACTGAAAGGCGTGCACACAGCATAGACACAGCACAGCACGCAGCAATGCAGCGGCACAACCGTTGAAGCAGCGGCAGCAGCAGCAGCAGCAGGAGAACTTACCACAGCGCACAGCCCTTTGAATGCTTCCTCCTTCTCCACATCGTCGCGAATTCTGAGAAGAAGGGGATTGGGGGGGAGATACGGAAAGGGATTGGTGGGAGCAGGGCGAGATAGGGGTCACGCGGTTGGAGAAGGAAGTGAAATGGGGGCGGAGAGCAGGCGGAGAAAGAAAAGGATCAGAGGGCGAGCGAGTAATGAGGAAAAAAAGGGAGGGGGCGGGGGGGGGGGGGGGGGGGGGGGGGGGGGTATGAGGGGAAATAGAGGAGACGAGTAACAACAAATAAACAAACTGCCAGAAATGAAAGAGCAGGAGGTGAACAATGACCGACTTGTGGTGAGGAAGGGCATGAGGAAAAGAGGCCTGGGGCGCCAAGACGGTAGCAGGGCAGGACGCTAGAGCAGCACGCTTGGAAGACTTACCCCTTGAGCGTGGTGAGGAATGGAACCAAGAAGAGAGACGCCTGGGGCGCAAGCACGTCAGGGCACACCCATGCAAAGCGGCCGAGCGTGATGGCACAGTTCTCCACCAGGGCTAGATTGGTGCCCTGGGGAGTGGAGGGGGAGAGGGAGAGTGGGCAGTTATAGCACGTCAGGGCACACCCATGCAAAGCAGCCGAGCGTGATGGCACAGTTCTCCACCAGGGCTAGATTGGTGCCGTGAGGGGGGGGGGGGGGAGGGGGGGGTGGGAGGGGGGGTTGGCGTAAGGAGGAAGGGGGTGTAAAAGTGTAGGTTCGAAGCGGCCGAACGCGATGGTACAGTTCTTCACCAGGGCTAGATTGGTGCCCTAGGGGGGGGAGGGGAGGAGAAGAAGGGAGGGGGTAGACGAGTGGGCATGGATTTTAGGGTGAGGGGCGCAGCGGCCGAGCATGATGGCACAGTTCTCCACCAGGGCTAGATAGGTGCCCTGGGAGGGAGGGAAGGAGGAGGCGACGTGAAAAAAGGAGGGGAGGAGAAGAAGGGAGGGGGTAGACGAGTGGGCATGGATTTTAGGGTGAGACGTCTCAAAACACTCCTTTTTTCACGTGGCTAGATAGGTGCCCTGGGAGGGAGGGAAGGAGGAGGCGGTACAGAGAGGGAAGGATATGGTAGGGTCGAAGCGGCTGAGTGTGATACCATAATTTTCCACCAGTGCTAGATTAGTGCCCTTGGGGGGGGAAGGGGGAGGGGAGAAAGGAGGGGGTAGAAGAGTAGAAGAGTGGGCATATATAATGGGGGAAGAAGCTGTGCGGATGTGAGGGCGGGCGCAATGCTGTTGTTGAGCACCAAGTCAAGCAAGTCAATGCAGTCATGACAATCAATGGAGTCACGCTAGTAATCACCCATACACTCACCCAGGGGTTCTGTGCCGATGTGAGGACCGGCACAATGTTGTTCAGCACCGGCACCACTGCTGGTGCTATTTCCTCTCGCACCTGTTGAGAGTCAACAAGGGCACAAAGACAGGGTCAACAGGGTCAACAGCCAGCTCCCCCAGAGCCCAGCATATGTTGGTGGCCACAGAGATGCGCTCGTGCACAAAGGCACCTCTTTTGAGTCGACTCAAACATGACAACAACCACCAGGGCATGACATGACTGGCCTTGACTGCCCGCTCCCCCAGAGCCTAGCATGCATTGTTGGCCACTGAAATCCTCTCGTGCACAAAGGACTCAACTCGGGGCCGTTCAGCTGGCTCACACACACCCAACCAACCCCCTCATCGCCCCCTTCTCCCCGTCAGCCTCGGCAGCATACCTTGACTGCCAGTTCGCCCAGAGCCCAGCACGCGTTGTTGGCGACTGAGATCTGCTCGTGCACGAAGGGCTCAGGGCCGTTCAGCTGGCCCACTCTCCTACTACCCCCTCTACCCCCCCCTCTAACACACCTTGACTGCGAGTTCCCCCAGGGCCCAGCACGCGTTGTTGGCCACTGAAATCCTCTCGTGCACAAAGGACTCGGGGCCGTTCAGCTGGGCCACACACACGGAGAGGAAGTCGTTGAGGCGCGGCCGGACCTGCTGCACACACGACTGGCGAGAGATGGGGGGGAGTCAGGCAATGAGGGAGGGAATTCAGGGGGGAGCGTAAGGGTGTGAACCGTTCAGCTGGCCCACGGGCCCCACGCACACGGAGAGGAAGTTGTTGAGGTGCGGCCGCACCTGCTGCACACACGACTGGCGGGAACGAGAGAAAGGGGGGGAGTCGGGGGGAGAGAGAGAAGATGTGATTGCAAGGGAGCCACCGCACAGCACTGCAGTGTGTGGTTCATGCCTTACAGTCTTATCACAGACTGTACATCAAAGCAACACACACCTTAATCAGATCACCCAACAGCGCGAGAGGGCTCTGCTTGACGTCGTCGGCGTCCACAGCACAGCACAGCACTGCACTGCATTGTGCGGTACGTCCTATGGTCTTATCAGCAACACACAGACTAAGCTTACCTTTGTCAAGTCACCCAGCAGAGCCAGCGAGCTCTGCTTGAAGCTGCTGGCGTCCACAGCAAAGAACTGCATGGCACTAGATGGTAGTCTTACTGACCAACAGTCTAGCAAAGCACACCTTAGTCAGGTCACCCAGTAGAGCCAGAGAGCTCTGCTTGACATCGTAGGCGTCCACAGCGCAGCACTGCAGCAGCACTGCAGCAGCACTGAATTGCCTGGTACATCTAGTGAGAGTCAGGCAGAGTGAAACGCACCTTAGTGAGATCACCCAATAGAGCCAGAGAGCTCTGCTTCACATCATTGGCGTCCACGGCACTGCACTGCAGCAGCAGGTCCGTCAAGCCGCTCTTGGCGACCTGGGGGTGGAAAGTAGGAGATCATCAAGCAGGAAACAGAGGGAGATGAAGCAAAGAATCAGGACACGCGGGCAAAGCACAAGACTCGCTTGCTTACAAACGTTCCCTTATGAAGCAACAGTAAGTCCGCCTAAACCCAACGACAGCTTACAGTACAACCAACGAAACTTGTAGCGAATCACTCAATAGCGGCAAAACCAACGATCCAAGTGCCTCGATGACTCCTGAGCTGAGATCCAGGGCACACACTATGATATGACCTCCTTGTCGTACGGCGTCTAGTTTTGAGGAATCTACTTTTGAGGTGTCCACTTTCGATCAAGATTGCGAATCACTCACCAGGGGCTCAACCGACGGTCCAAGGGCCTCGATGACTCCTGAGCTGAGATCCAGGGCACACACTATAAACTCCTTGTCGTACGGTGCACCCGCTGCAGCTGGGTCCTTCTGTGAAGGGGGAGAGGAGGCAGCGGAAGAGGGAAGAGGTGGGGTGAAGACATGGAGGGAGGAAGGGAGATAGGAGCTAACATCCATCCAAAACCTGAGCCTGAGCCTGAGATAGGGAAGGGAAAGAGGAGAAAGATGGGGTCCAAAGCCTGAGCGACACATAACCCGCAGTTTCCCTGTTCACCGCACTGCACCTTTCTCCACCGCACTGCGTACCTGTGCCACGAGCTGCACTCTGATAATATGGCAGCAGCGTGCCAGCACCGTCTCAGCATAGGGAGCAAAGGCCCACACAAACGACTCCCTGGTGCCCCACTTGACCGCACTAAACCCTTATACACTGCACCACACCCCTCCCTCACCTGTGCTACCAGCTGAACTCTGATAATATGGCAGAAGCGCGCCAGCACCGTCTCGGCATAGGGAGCAAAGGCGGGATCCAGGGCCTGAGCGACACACACATGCACAGGCCTCTCACTCCCCCTCTACAGAGCAATAACACACCTGTGCCACGAGTTGCACTCTGATGATGTGGCAGCAGCGCACAAGCAACGTCTCGGCGTACGGAGCAAAGGCGGAGCCCAGAGCCTGAGCCACACACACATGAACCTCGCACTTCCCCCACCCAACAAAACCCCCGACACCGCATCTGATCCCTCTTTAGAGCATTACACACCTGAGCAACAAGCTGAACTCTAATAATGTGGCAGCAGCGAGCCAGCACGGTCTCAGCATACGGAGCAAAGGCGGGGCCCAGAGCCTGAGCGACGGAGGTGAAGCACTCGAGCAGCGGGAAGATGTCGCGATCAAAGTCGGAGATCTGCTGCCACTTGGCTGTGAGAGGCAGCATTAAGACGGTGATGTAACGCGGCTGGTGGGAAGGGAGACAGGAAAGATGGGGTAGAGAAGCGGAGGGGAAGGGGGTATAGAGGTATGGGTACAAGTGCAGCACTCGAGCAGAGAGAAAGATGTCGCGATCAAAGTCGGAGATCTGCTGCCACTTGGCTGTGAGAGGCGGCATTAAAACGGCGATGTAACGCGGCTGGTGGGGGAAGGGGGCCAGGGTGGGCAGGAAATGGGAGTGGGGATTGGAGTGGAGAGTCAGCAGGGTGGGGAGGGTGAAGGGTGGAAGGGTGTAGAGGTATAGACAGAGGTGTAGCACTCAAGCAGCGGGAAGCTAGACACCTCTAACCCCACAAATAAAATAACACAATCTTGCCCCACAACTCCCTCATGTGGCCCCATCCTCCCCATATAGCCACTCACATCTTGCAACGCTCCTCCCCTCCCCCCATGCGGCCCCACCCGCCCCTTCCCCCCATGCGGCCCCACCCGCCCCTCCCCCCCATGCGGCCCCACCCTCCCCTCCCCCCATGCGGCCCCACCCGCCCCTCCCCCCCCATGCGGCCCCACCCGCCCCTCCCCCCCATGCGGCCCCACCCTCCCCTCCCCCCATGCGGCCCCACCCGCCCCTCCCCCCCATGCGGCCCCACCCGCCCCTCCCCCCCATGCGGCCCCACCCTCCCCATACAGTCACTCACATCTTGCAGCGTACCCCCCACACAGTCAGCCAAAGTGCCCACTGCGTCATACAGAATGCGCAGGTTGCGCCGCTGTGAACAAGGCGAGGGGTAAGAGAGGGGAAAGGAGGGGCAAGAGAGGGGTAAGAGAGGAGCAAGAGAGGGGTAAGAGAGGGGAAAGGAGGGGCAAGAGAGGGGTAAGAGAGGAGTAAGAGAGGGTCCCATACAACACATTCCCCCATAGAACATGGTTCCATACAATACGGTCTATTACAAGAACCTTCCATATATTCAGTTCCGACGTGCACAGTCATACGGTCTCGAGAAACAAAGACCTGATCCGTTGAAAAATCCTGATGCCACCCACCTGATGTTACCCCTGAAGCTCTGTTGAAATCACCTGGTACTTGCTGAACGCGAAGGCGAGGTGCTGCAGAATGGGCTCCAGGCGTTCCGGCAACTCGTCCACTGCCTCCTGCTCAGATGGCGGGGGGGGGGGAGGGAGAAGTGGGCGGAGAGACGGGGGAGACGGGGAAAGGAGGTGGGAAGAGGAGAGGGGAAGGGGCAGATGGTTCAGTGAAAGAGGTGCTGAAGAATGGGCTCCAGGCGATCCGGCAACTCGTCCACTGCCTCCTGCTCAGGTGATTGGGGAAACGGGAGAGGGGGGAGAACGGGGGGAGAGGAGGGGAAGGGGGCGGGGGAGAGGGGAGAGTGAGGGGAGCTGTGGCAGGGGGCGGTTTAGAGACATCTCAAATCAGGCAACTTGACCACTGCCTACTGCTCAGGTGGAGGTGGGGGGGGGTTATTACCACAGAGGGCGGAGATGGGGAACCACAGTGGGGGTGGGGGATTACTTCCAGAGTAGGAAAACCGGAAAAAGGATCCCTCCGAACGTGCTTGTTGCCGTCCATAAATCCTTGCAGACCGTCCTCACCTCCCTCGACCATCTCTGCTCTCCACTCCCTCTCACCTCTTCTAGTGTGGCGAAAGCAGAGCAAGCAGCCTCCTGAACCCTCTTGTTATCCAATATCCGCGCCAAAAACCCAGTCAGCACGGCGTCAAACTGCTGCTGCCCCTCGGGCTTATCAACGGCACGGGCAATCCACTTGGAGTAGCGAGTGAGGGCATGCCTGTGCTGCTGCTGTGACGTGACTGTGCTCTCACTCACCTCTTCCAGTGTGGCAAAGGCAGAGCAGGCAGCCTCCTGAACCCGCTTGTTGTTATCCAGAATGCGCGCGAGGAACCCAGTCAGCACGGCGTCAAACTGCTGCTGCCCCTCGGGCTTATCCACGGCGCGGGCGATCCACTTGGAGTAGCGCGACAGGGTCCAACACGTGATGCTCCTCACGAGCGGGTGCGGGTCTTCCAGGAGAGGCAGCAGGTGGGCAATCATCTGCGGCAGCGCAGGCAGCAGCCCGTCAATGCAGCCTTCTGCTACAGCGCCCACGGCCAGCACTGACGCCTCCCGCTCCTTCCACTTGCCCTCGCTTCGGTCTGCAAGATTCGTCTGGAGGGTGGGGGGTGGGGGAAGGGAAGGGGGAAGGGGAGGGGGAAGGGGAGGGGGAAGGGGAGGGGGAGGAGGGGAAGCAGGAAGGGGAGCGAGGGAGGCAGTGAGGGAAGGAGTCAAGGAGTGAAGGAGTGAGGGAAGGACGGAGTCTTCCAGGAGAGGCAGCAGGTGGGCGATCATCTGCGGCAGCGCGGGCAGCAGCCCGTCAATGCATCCTTCAGCTACCGCTCCCACGGCTAGGACGAAAGCTTCCCTCTCCTTCCACTTGCCCTCGCTGCGGTCTGACAGGTTCGTCTGGCGGGAGAGAATGGGGAGGGGGAAGGAAGGGAAGCAGGGAGGGGGACAGGAAGGAGGGAAGGAAGGAATAAAAGAGGGAAGAGGGGAAGGAGTGGGTGTGGTAGCAAGCAGCAGCAGGTGGGCGATCATCTGCGGCAGCATGGGCAGCAGCAGCCCATCAATGCATCCCTCCGCCACGGCCCCCACAGCCAACACCAAAGCTTCTATCTCCTTCCACTTGCCCTCGCTTTGGTCTGCAAGATTCGTCTGGTGGGAGAGGAGGGCCCGTGGGGAGGGATGGAGAGAGTGGGTGGAAGGAGGGAGGGAGGGAGGGAGGGAGGGAGGGAGGGAGGGAGGGAGGGAGGGAGGGAGGGAGGGAGGGAGGGAGGGAGGGAGGGAGGGAGGGAGGGAGGGAGGGAGGGAGGGAGCGAGGGAGGGAGGGAGGGGGGGAGGGAGGGAGGGAGGGAGGGAGGAAGGGAGGGAGGGAGGGAGGGAGGGAGGGAAGGGAAGGAGGAAAGGAGCGAGTGTGGTAGCAGTAGCAGCAGGTGCGATCGTGTGGGGCTTAGAGGCCTCAGAGGGACTCCAAGGTTTCGAAGCGCAGCACACCTGGATGAGCGGCATGAGGATGGGCAGCAGCGCGTCTCCAAAGACGTGAGAGAGGATGTCCAGCCCTGCTGCACTGCACTTGCGCAGATTCCACGTGCTCGCACTCTCATCGTAGTCCTCCTCCGCATCCTGAGTGTGTGTGTAAGTAGGCGTGTGTGCAGGGAAAGGGGGATAAAACACATGAAGGAGTGGCAAGTGTTTAAACCTGCTGCACTGCACTTGTACAGATTCCACGTGCTTGCACTCTCATCGTAGTCCTCCTCCACGTCCTGGCAAGTGTGCTTGCGCAGAGAAAGTGGGGAACACACAAAGGAGTGGCAACTGTTTTCTCCAAATGCACTGCACTTGCGCAGATTCCACGTGCTTGCACTCTCATCGTAGTCCTCCTCCACGTCCTGGCAAGTGTGGATTAGGGAGGGTAAGGGTACGTCTGTAAGCGTGAGTGGGCCGGCGGGGTGAGCCAACGAGATGCATTGCAAGGGGAACGAATCAAGTCACTTGGGTTAACTCGGAAGCTTCTGGCAAGCTCCCAAATATGATTCTACAACCATTAAGTCTTTCTTTGCAAGGTCACTGCAGTCAACTCAAGTCCTTCTCACTCACCTCGCCATTGGCACCGTGCAGCCTGGACTGATGAAACCGCGGCTTGAGATCCTGGGAGGGGTAACAGACGGGGACGAATGCGGAAGAGTCTTGAGACGTTTCAATACAAGGAAGGAGCAACAAGGGACAGAGCCTGCCCTTGAAACGAAGGAAACGTGGGGAGCGGGAAAGGAAAGGAGTGAAAGATGAGGCGAAAAAAGGAAGACGTGGCCCTCCTTGCCTGATCGAAATTAGGGTGTATCCTATATTCTAAATAGACCCATTATTGAGAAATTCGAAAAAAAAAAGAAAAAAAAAAAAAAAAAAAAAAAGAGATCAACTAACACACCCAGAGGAAACGAGGTCACCCAAGGGAAAGTGGTCCTCCTCACCTGATCAGAATCGGGTGCGTCTCCTTCATCCTGCGAGGGGCACAGCGGCAGAGTGACAAAAAACATAGGGGTCACATGGCAAGATCGGATGTTAAATTCGGTCGACTCAACCTCTCATTCACAAGCAGTGTGTTGTGCACGCATGCATGCAGGCAAGTAACCCTGCACAAGCTAAAAAAAAACGGCTCCGATCCGGCATCAAGCGGAAATAGGAGTGAGTGTGGTGTGGGCCATATTGCGAAGAATTCCATTATCACATCCCATGCACCCATGAGACATATCCCATGAACGCTCCCATGCATTTTATCCCCATGCACCCCATGCATCACCGCATGCAAGACTCCCATGCAAGACTCCCCATTCATGAACCCATGCATGAGCCCGTGTATGTATGCACATATCGCACCTCAGCATCGATGACTGCCTCGTCATCATCTGCATACACCATGTTTGTCAGGAGAACCTGGTTCACATCACATTCACACGAAGCAGGCAGGCCGGTTTGGAAGCAAGGCAGGAGGGGAAGAAAGAGGGAGTTTGAAATGACTTCGGAAATGTCTGCTTGTACAGGTTGTGTCAGAAGAGTCTGGTTCAAATTCGCACCGATTGGGGCGATGGGTGGGTGGAAAGAAAGAGATGGTTTTGAGACAAAGGTCAGAAACGAGTGACGAGGGGTGGACGCGTGTGTGAGGAAGATTTTGAGAATTCTCAAAATCAACCTCAAACAGAAAGAAAGAGATGGTTTTGAGACCAAGGTCGGAAACGAGTGACGAGGGGTGGACGCGTGTGTGAGGAATGGGGACAAACAGGGAGAGAGAAGCTGCAAGCCCGTACCGTCACAAGCTGGGGCAGGAACTCCCGTAGCATCTCGGGCGACTGGTTGTTCTCGCAGTAGGCGGACCAGAACTCACACGCCTCCAGAGCCACATCGGGGTCTGAGTCCCGCGTGGAGGCGAGCATGTACTCTATCACATTGCGCATGTGCGGCTGGGGGTGGGGGGGGGGGGGCGGGGGGGGGTGGGAGCAGGGAGGGAGGGAGAAAGTGCGGTTAAGAGCGGACCAGAACTCACACGCCTCCAGAGCCACATCGGGGTCCGAGTCCTGCGTGGATGCGAGCATGTATTCGATCACATTGCGCATGTGCGGCTGGGGGTGGGCGGGGGGGGGGGGGGGTTGGGGGGTTGGGAGCAGGGAGGGAAGGAGAAAGTGCGGTCAAGAGCGGACCAGAACTCACACGCCTCCAGAGCCACATCGGGGTCGGAATCACGCGTGGAGGCGAGCATGTATTCGATCACATTGCGCATGTGCGGCTGGGGGTGAGGGGGGGGGGCGGGGTTTGGGGGGTTGGGAGCAGGGAGGGAAGGAGAAAGTGCGGTCAAGAGCGGACCAGAACTCACACGCCTCCAGAGCCACATCGGGGTCCGAGTCCCGCGTGGAGGCGAGCATGTATTCGATCACATTGCGCATGTGCGGCTGGGGGTGGGGGGGGGATTGTGGGTGAGGATATGGAGGAGAGAGAGAGAGAGGGATGGACGGGTCAGAATCGCGTGTGGAAGCTAGCACGTACCGTATCACATTGCGCATGTGCGGATGGGGTTGGGAGGGAGTGGGATTTGATTGGGGGCGGCGAGGGATAAAAGCCCCAAAAAGGAGGAACAGAACAGATGGCCTCGCGAGTGGTTACCACCAAGTATTCTTTCACATCGCGCATCTGTGTCTGAAGGTGGACAGGTGGGAAACGGAAGCGGAGATTGGGTGGGGAGGTGGAAGGTCATGTTTGATTGTAGGGAGATGCTCAAGGCCGAAAGTGATTAAGACGAAAGGTGCTTACAAGAAAAGGTGCTGAGAGGAATGGTGCTTACGAGGAGGAAGGAGGGTTGCAACTCGATGAGCTGGACCACCGCTGAGCACACCTGCAGCCACCCACAACCAGCCACAGGGTACGGACGGACACACATGGTAAGAAAGGACGAGGACTCTCACCAGGGGCAACAATCTAAACTAAACAGCGCCAGAAAAAGCACAAGACACAGCCGAGAGGAATCCGAATCGAGAATAGCTCGTTTGAGCTATTGATTATCAAGTTGCCTATTGATTACAGTGCTGGTGTTGGGTTCGGCACATCTCAAGACTCACCAGCCTTCGGACTTCTGGGATGGGGTCGGATCCAAGCGTAAAGAGGCCCTGTAGGTAACTGTCCATGTTCACTAGCAGAACCTGCGGTTGTGGGGGGATATGGGGGGGATGGGCGAAGGGTCGAAAGGGTGGGGGGGAGGGTGGGAAGGATGGGGTCGGATCCGAGGGCAACGAGGCCTTACAGATAGCTGTCTGTCCATGTTCACTTGCAGCACCTGACGAGACTGACTGGCTTTTGAGTCGACTCAAAAGTCAGATCCGAGGGTATAGAGGCCTTACGGATAGCTGTCTGTCCATGTTCACTTGCAGCACCTGACGGGACGGGAGGAGGGAAGAACAGGAATGGGCACGCCACGCAGCATGAGCTGTGCACGCACTGCCCATCCCCAAAAGCCACCCACCCTCTGAGCATGTGCAGCAGAATGAACCGGTTCACGCTCGCTCCCCAGCACCATTTTCCTCAAGCTGGCGCGCGGCGAGGCGAAGCGATGCAGCAGTTGCGCTACAGGCGCACTGCTGTTGTTGCAGAGTATTTTTTGAGAATTCTCAAAAATACACTGCTGTTGTTCCAGACCCCACTCTGCGCATGTGCTGTGCTGTGCTGTGCATGCACTGCTCACTGCCCAAACCCACTTCCAAACACCACTTACTCTGGGCATGTGCAGAATGAACTGGTTCACGCTCCCCAACGCCATCTTTCTCAAGCTGGCATGTGGAGAGGCGAATTGCTGCAGCAGGCGCGGCAGGAAGACGGTGATGGGGCGCTCTGCCAGCCCGGGGATGTCACGGTCCAGCTGCAGAGGCATGTCCTCACTCATCTGTATAAGGGGGATAGAGGGGGGTTGGGAAAGAGGGGATGAAAATCAAATTTTAAGGTGCTTCATTCTGCCAGGCCAGAGATATCCCTGTCGAGCTGCAGTGGCGTGTGCTCGTCCATCTGAGGGGTGGAGGGAGGTGTGGGTATGACGAAGGAGCAGGCGCGGCAGGAAGACGGTGATGAGGGGAAGTGGGGGGGAGGGGGGCTACGCTAACACACCTTAAACAAATCATCCAATGCCTCTCCCATGTGGCTGAAATCGATCGAATCACGACACTCCAGCATGATTGACTTGCAAGGCCAACGGACTCGATACAAGCAGATTCATTCACGGACCTTAAACAGAGCATCCAGCGCCCCTTCCATGTGGCTGAAGTCGTTCGAATCTAAACACTGCAGCATCACTTGCAGGAGGTCCGTCCACGCGTGCAGCCCACCCTGCTGCTCCACAATACACGATATAACGGTGCCCACTGTAGCGCGTAACTGGTGGTCCGGGAGGCCTATGCACGGCAGCAGGAGCGCTTTGATGTAGGCCAGGTAGGCTGGGTTCAGGTTCTCGTAGCCCGTTCTCAGGTTGTTTTTCAGGAGGAGACCCGCGCTCTGACGAACCTCTACAGGTTGGTTCTGCAGGGAAAGATGGAAAGAAGCGGATGGTGGGGGAACGGGGAGGTTGTGGGGTATCGAGAAAGGACTGAAAATTTGAGAATGATGTAAATAAACGACTAAGCAAAGTACCCTGGAACCACGAGAACTGTCGGTAAGAGGTGGTGCTTAAGGGGTTACATGAGCGACGATCGGGAACGATGGGGAGCAGATCGGTCAGCACACAAGGATCGCGAGCAGCAAAGCGATCGGCGCGTGTGCAATAAGCACAGACTGACGCTTCAAGACCGTGGATCGCGTAATGATCAGTCAAGTAATTCTCGTACCGATCAGTCGGATCGCGATAGAAACGAGCGACATGAGCAACGGCATCCAGGGTTCAAACGGTCAAAATTCCGAAAATATGAACGACGATCCACCTTCGATCGACTACTAACCCCTTTTTTTACGTCCACAAATCCCTGGTCCTGCATTACTCCCAGATACTGCATTCACCAAACCAACACGGTCGATTGACTAGATCCTTTATTCTCGATTGTCTAATCGCATTTCTCATACGTTCGCGTACGCAAATTCCGTGAGACCAAGGTTGTTTCAATTAAGCCCGTACGAAGTAACACGCTGGACCCGGGAACTTGATAGATACTCGAACTAAACATATAGGAAAAAACAGAAACCGAGTATAGTCGCGTCGCGCAATTAGATTTAGTGTCTAATTGTTTTTCATCGTACACGAGGCGGCAACTTCGCACCTTCCCTAACACAACGGGAATGCGAGGCAGTAATACATAGAAACATATCATCTCGGAAATAATGCGGAAACTACTGTTTCACACCTCTCCCTTGCACAGAAGGAACGCGAGGTAGTTGTTGAAATCTGGAAATTGGCTGCATCGCTGCAGTTCCTGGAAGATTCGCGCCTGATCGACGCCTGGTTTAAGGTACTCGTGCAACAGCGTGCAGATCTCGTTCGCTCCCTGCTCCGACGGCTGCCATGCTGCCGCTGCTTCCGCCATTACTCAAATGCGATCTTGAGAGCTAAGCTAAGGCGATTAAGGTCGGCTCGGACGCGACGAGGATCAGCAGGAAAAAGCGGACTGAGAGTACGAAATGCCGAGGTGGCCTAGTTTAGATGCCAGCAACGGTCAACCGCTTCCTAGGAAACGCGAGTGACTACCTTGCACACTTATAAATCTCTAACTAGAGAATTTAATAGAGTGCTGACTGGAGTTAGGTGCTCCCTGCATAAAGAAGGCTCGAGATGCCTGATCAAAAACACGCTCGGAAGTTCCGAAGGGAGAGGAAAGAGCAAAACCGAGGCAAAATCGAAGGTGCCACTGTACATGAAAAAACCGAGGCAAGAATATTCCGATCACAGTAAGAGCGTGGAACATCCTTATGAACAAGTGATTGGTCGCTTGTTTGGTCGAACATGTGGCCTCGTCACTCGTTTGCGACGGATTTCGCCAGGTAGCACACAAAACCCCATGGTCGCCCAGCAGCGAAGAGTCGAGAGGGTACACGAACAGCCCTGACTTCGTCAATCAGCACGCTGCAAATTGGGTCGCAACACATCACCCACGACATCATGTCGCATGTATCGCCAATTCTTGTCGTATCGGCGTGCTCCAAAAAGTGGGGCGACCAAAGACAACAAGCTGTGGAACTTGCGCGCTACTTCCAGTTTCGTCACTCTTCTTCGAATGTCAGCGGCGGGAATCGCAAGCAGTGGTTACCGTCGCAGCTGGGCGCCCAACACCCGTTCAAAAGGATGTTCCACGCCCTAACGCGTATCTAGACGGATTACGAGTTCCCCCTAAGTTCTGACGCCTTCCGTCAGTCATTGGATGACTTTTCTAAAAAACAAAGCGCGCGCGGATTCTACAGAGCGTCGTGACTCGTCAGTCGTTTGAGGCCGTCCGATTGAAGAGGGTGGTTGGGTAGCTCCAACCAAACTGAAGCCGGCGATACCAAAAGAACGTGCGATGACAGAAAACCACACTGGCATCTCCAATTTTCAACACCAAATTCTGTCTACACCTCACATTTCTCATACCAACAGCAACATACAGACATCCTACACTTTATTCAAATAGGCATTGCAATCACATCATTCCTCCTATTAACCCTCAAAGAATCTAATAAAATATGAGATGGCAGACAACAATATATGAGGAAGGAAGAATAAGAATGTGATGAATGCAAATGCTGTGCTAGCTTTGGTTCTTGAACAAAACCTAGAATACGGTGATGGTCCAACACATGGAGCATAGTTGAACAGCACTATTCCCCGATCATTGAACGTGGTCACTGCTGCTGCGGCAGCTCCCGCACTGAGGGCAACCAATGCCATAAGCTGCATCGGGGCAGAAAGCAACAGTCCAGAACGCCATCATAAGTAATAACCGGCATGGAAGCATTGATTGGTGATAAAAGAGAATGGGACTTACAATGTCCATGAGATAGATGAGCCCTCGCCAAATCAGGGACCGGAGCTTGCGGCCCATGGCAAGTTGAAGCAGTTCTATTTGTTGTAGAGGCGTCTCCTCTACTTTGCAGGAACTCTAAGTTGCACTAAACGATAGAGCACAGTCTTGGCTTTCCAACAAGCCGTCAAACACGTTAATCGCCCAAGTATACGCCGAGATATTGGCGTTCACGTGATTGCTAGTGCTCTTAGAAGCAAGGATAGACCTCTCTGGAATTTTGGTTCGAATGGACCATGTACAAGAAGATTCAGGATTTCAGTATAAAGCATGCATACAAGGCAGGTCGATTTATAGCAAATGCATTACATCGAACCGCACATGTAACATCACATCGCTACACTCGCGTCGCGAATGCGCCGCGTGTAACATTTCGGTTGGGGTGAAATTCGACCACCGAATTTCACACCGAACACACCGAATTCGCCTTGCACTTGAAGGTTGGAATGTGGTGCCGCCACGTGGCACCGAAGGGTGAGTCTCCCGAAGTCAATCGGTGCCACCCCACCGATCCCTAGTCAAAGGGATCGAAGGCACCGAAGTGCCCTCGGTGGGTTGGGGGCATACCACCGCCCCACCACCGTTTCCTTCCAACACTCCCCCTTGCACCCAAGCCACTAGGTGTTCATACCAACACGCTCACGGCATGCACGGAATGAATCCTTAGGGAGTGGTTTAGTGAGGAAATCCGCGGGTTGCGCCTTGGTGCTTATGTATGTGACCTTGACCTCACCTCTCTCGACCACCTCACGAATGAAGTGATGCTTCACCTCAATGTGCTTGGTACGCCCGTGAAGGACGGCATTGTGAGTGAGGTTTATGGCCGCTTGGTTGTCACAAAAGAGAGGAGTTGGGTCGGCTTGAGGATGCCCAAGCTCCGCTAGAAGGCGCCGTAGCCATATTGCCTCCATGGCTCCTTGAGTGAGTGCCATATACTCCGCTTCCGTTGTGCTTAGAGCCACGGTTGGTTGCAACTTGCTTTGCCAACTTACGGCTCCCCCAAGCAAGGTGAAGACGTACCCGCCGGTACTCTTGCGCTTGCTTTGATCACCGGCATAATCCGAGTCGGTGTAGCCCTTAAGCACGATTGGACCGGCTTCATATACGATTCCCAAGTTGGGTGTGCCTTGGAGGTAGCGTAGAACACGTCCTCCCGCACGCACATGCTCGGTATGAGGGTTGCTTACGGCTCGTCCAAGTACCCCGGCGGCGTATGAGAGGTCGGGACGGGTGGAAACGGCGGCATACATGAGTGAGCCGACTAGCGAATGAAACCGCTTCCCTTCGGCTTCGTCGAGGGCGGATTCTTCCTCTCCCGGGAGGCAAGAAAATCCCGTGTCTAGTGGCGTCCCCACCGGGTTGCTATTACCCATGCCGAAGCGCTCCACAACCCCTTTCACATATTTTTCTTGGTGGAGGTGAATGGTCCCGTTCGCGCGGTCGCGGTCGACGTGCATCCCGAGGTAGTACGTCACCGGTCCCAATTCCCTCATGGCAAACTCCGCCCCTAGCCGTTGCTTGACCTCTCGAATGAGGTCTTTGGAGTCGGAGAAAAGAAGGAGGTCATCGACGTAGAGCAAAAGCACCAATTGCTTCTCCCCCTCCTTCAACACGTACAAAGCGCTATCACACACGCTACGCGCGAAGCCGTGTTGAAGAAGAAAGTCGTCGATGCGCTTGTACCATCCGCGTGGGCTTTGCTTCAAGCCATAGAGGGTACGCTTGAGCTTCCACACCCGACCGCTACCGTCATCGTACCCCGGGGGTTGCCGCATGTAGACTTCTTCCATGAGAAGCCCGTAGAGGAAGGCGGTGCAAACGTCCAATTGTTCCACCTCGAGGTTGAGAGATGCCGCTAGCGCGAGCAACACCCGAAGAGTGGAGGCCTTCGAAGCGGGAGCGAAGGTCTCACTATAGTGCTCCCCCTCCCGTTGAGTGTACCCTTGCGCCACAAGCCGCGCCTTGTAGCGTTCGACACCTCCATCGGCTCCCAATTTCTTCCTAAGCACCCACTTGCATCCCACCAAGTAGGCACCCTTCGGCGGGTCGACGAGCTCGAAAACATCGTTCTCCTTGATCGATGCTAACTCCCTCTCCATCGCTTGCTTCCATAGCGGTGCATCCGGGGAAGCCAAAGCCTCCTTGTGAGTGCGTGGGTTATCGTCGCCGATGGTCGCTAGGCAAATCGCCGCACTCTCCTCATCCGACTCCCCAACGGCGACCGTAGCATAGTCGGTTAACCTCGTGTTGGGGCGAGGTGTACGACGCCCGCGAGTCAACGCCAATGGTAGGGAAGAAGGTGCGGAGGAA